TAGGGCATTGCAGTATATGCACATTTGTGGGGACCCTATATGTAGGAGGGTCGTTTATTCATTTAATTATTCATTTTTCAGTAGAGGAAGCGCAGCAATTTTTATGCTTAAGTTAAAATAGAAGTTTGGGTTTACAAATAAATAACAAATCATACTCCCCTAGGTGGATGCAGCATTGGTCTGATGCTGCAGCTGTCCCCCACCACCTCCAAGACCGAGAATTGAGCAATCAAAGACGCTCGGTTCTCGGTCTAGAGTGAGCAGAGTGCGGTGACTGTCAGTCACCGCTTTGTGCTTTGCCCCTCCAGCGCTCACTGGAGCTCGGGGCTGTGAAGGGGGTTGGAGTGGCTGACTCTGGTTCTCAGCAGCTCACTGAAAGGCTGAGCTAGCTGCCAGTCAAGCATTTGGGTGCATCCTGACATTATTGTTGGGATCCCTGCAGAGCCTGGACCAGCTCTGTGACATCAACCGACAGAAGACATTAGATCGCTGCCAGCTGAATCTGGGTCACATGAGTTCAGAACTAAGTGCACTCCTGTGATCCAAAAGAGCTTTTGCCATACTTCTTCTTTAACATTTGGGCATAGGTCCACTTTAAATCACACACTGCATAACCTGAGCCTGTGAGTTGTATGTTCTGAACCTTCAGAGTGTTTTCCCCTGGAATTTTCTGTATTACTTTGTATATCTGGGTGTATCTATCCAGCACTTTTCCCTCATTATAACCTCCTATCATCAGAGGAAATTCTGCAGTCCTTGGACATCTCTGATCTCTTCATTGAACGATCTACTGGATCACTGAACCGGATATTGTCAGAAAACATTACTGTAATGGCATATGACTATTGCGTCCTGTCTGATTCCATCGTAAGTGATGTAATTTCATATAGAACAATCCACGCTTGACCTGACCCTTCTGCCGATCATGTGTCATCCAAATATAGTTTTATCCCCGTTTGTTTTAATTCTAGTTAATGTCACATGACAGCAAAAAGAGAGAGAACACTAAGAACCATTCATGTCTAAATCACATAACATGAGAATTTTATCTTGGCTCACATACTTTCTATTAAAAGAACATTTGAGTTCAGTGTCTCCAGCACCAGGTCTGAAAAATTATTGATGCATCTCCAAGTTGACATAAAGCCCCACCCCCTTTTGAAGTTCTGCGTATCTTTGTGATAATGATAACAAGATCCTTTATGACCGGGAGGTAAAACTGTATACAAACCCATTCATTACAATCTTGTATGAGCCTAAAATAAAAAGTAATTACATTTTTTTATTTATATATGCATTTTTTTAAATAATATCTGGTGATCCTGCCTTGAAGATCCTTGTTCAAGCATTCCTTATAAGGTGACAACCCTCTACCCCTATCTTTTGTTTGCTTTCTCGCATTGTCACCATGTTACACTGGCTTCCAATGAAGAATAGAAGACTACCATTGACTGTTACAACACACATTCATGTATATATATATATATATATATATATAAAGTCTTAGAGGTTTAAATAAATAAGGGATCATGCACATGTATGCTTTTTGGCATACAATGTATATCCAGGGCATGTTTTTATGCACAGGATACATAGCTGTTGTGCACCATCGGCGATGAACCACTTTGTGGCTCTACTTAGATTTACGTCACCACTTGCGTAAACCTATAAAGATGTATAACCCTGGTCTTAGAAGGTCTGCATCCAGAGTCTAAAGGCTTTACACATACACGAGTTTACACAAACATCACGTTTTCTTTTATATCATGCGGATAGCTGGGGGAGGCGGGGGTGTGCATCACTTACCTAGGAAACAAATGGCATCAAGATGCAGTATTAGAAGAAAACAAACGTTCAGAGGCAGTGTGATACTTTGGGCAATGTTCGCCTCGGAAACCTTGGGTCCTGCCATTCATGTGGATGGTACTTGGCATGTAGCACCTACGTAAAAATTGTTGCTGACTAAGTACCACCCTTTATGGAAATGGTATTCCCTGGTGCCAGTGGCTTCCTTCAGCAGAATAATGCAGTAAATGGGTCATGGGTTCGATTCCCAACCATGGCGCCTCCTGCATGGAGTTTGCATGTTCTCCCTGTGCTTGCATGGGTTTCCTCCGGGTGCTCCGGTTTCCTCCCACACTCCAAAGACATGCTGGTAGGTTAATTGGATCCTGTCTAAATTGGCCCTAGTATGTGTATGTATGGATGTAAGTTAGGGACCTTAGATTGTACACCCCTTGAGGGTTAGGGACTGATGTGAATGTTCAATATATATATGTGTAAATTGACAGCACTATATAAGTACCTGAAATAAATAAATAAATAAAAATAAATAATGCACCCTGCCACACTGCAAAAATGTTTCAAGAATGGTTTGAGGAACACAATGAGTTTGAGGTGTTGGCTTGGCCTCTTTTCTCCAGATCTCAATGCAATTGAGTGGGATGTACTGAAAAAACAAAAAACACCTCGCAACAGGACTTAAAGGATCTATTACTGCTGGCTTGGTGCCAGATACCACAGCATATCTTCAAAGGTCTAGTGGAGTCCATGCCTCCATGGATCAGAGCTGTTTTGGCAACAGAAGGGGGACCTACTCAATATTAGGTGGGTCGGTAAAAAAGTTATGGCTGATTGCTGTGTGTGTGTGTATACATACATGTAATACATTTTTTTTTTAACTTAAGTATTTCCCTTTAACAGTTGTCAGCCTATCGACATATTCTCATCGCCACTTTCTCCTCTTGATTAAACACTTTCTAAAATAGCTTCTTCTGCCGCGTTTGTGGTGTTTTGTGTATTTGTGTCACTCCTTTCTTCCCCATTCTGATTTAACTAATGGTGCAATATAAATTATTTATTGTGAATCACATGGCAAAACTATGAGACTATAATCATTTGTTATGCTGCTTGAATGATGCTTTCCGTCCAACCAAAAAGGAAGTAAGGACCGTGAAACTGAACTGAAACAATTCGATGAGGTTAAACGTACAACTTGCATTATTACAGAGCGGAGATCACAAGGTTCCAGTAACCGTAACAATATTTGTAGGCCACTCATAGGGGTCCTGGCTTTAATTTTTACTGACAACCCATCAGTTGCATTCAGCATGGACTTTTGACTTTTCAGTGCCAGTTTTTTGGTAAGATATTTTGGTATGTTAAATGTCTGCACTAGTATTTGTTAGCATACAGTGAGGAACAGAAGTATTTGAACACTCTGCGATTTTGCAAGTTTTCCCACTTAGAAATCATGGAGGGGTCTGAAATTCACTTTGTAGGTGCATTCCCACTCTGAGAGACAGAATTTAAAAAAAAATTCAGGAAATCACATTGTATGATTTTTAAAGAATTTATTTGTCTTGCACTGCTGAACATAAGTATTTGAACACCTAATAAACAGCAAGAATTCTGGCTGTCAAAGACCTGTTACTGCGCCTTTAAAAAGTCCACCTCTACTCCACTCATTAATCTAACCTAGTAGCACCTGTCAGAGCTCTTTAAAGACACCTGTCTACCCCACAGTCAGTCAGACGCCAACTACTACCATGGGCAAGACTTAAAAGCTGTCAAAAGACACCAGAGACAAAATTGTGGACCTCCACAAGGCTGGAAAGGGCTACGGGGCAATTGCCAAACAGCTTGGTGAAAATAGATCAACTGTTGGAGCAATTGTTAGAAAATGGAAGAGGCTAAAGACGACTGACAGTCTCCCTCGGACTGGAGCTCCATGCAAGATCTCACCTCGTGGGGTATCACTGATGATAAGAAAGGTGAGGAATCAGCCCAGAACTACAAGGGAGGAGCTGGTCAATGAAATGAAGAAAGCTGGGACCACAGTGTCAAAGGTCACTGTCAGTAGAACACTACGCCGTCATGGTTTCAAATCATGCATTGCACGGAAGGTTCACCTGCTCAAGTCATCACATGTCCAGGCCCGTCTGAAGTTTGCCAATGACCATCTGGATGATCCAGAGGAGGCATGGGAGAAAGTCATGTGGTCAGATGAGACCAAAGTAGAACTTTTTGGTCTAAACTTCACTTGTCGTGTTTGGAGGAAAAAGAAGGATGAGTTGCATCCCAAGAACACCATCCCTACTGTGAAACATAGAGGTGTTAACATCATGCTTTGGGGGTGCTTTTCTGCGAAGGGGACAGGACGACTGCACTGTATTAAGAAGAGGATGAATGGGGCCATTTATTGTGAGATTTTGAGCAACAACCTCCTTCCCTCAGTCAGAGCATTGAAGATGGGTCGTGGCTGGGTCTTCCAACATGACAACGACCTGAAGCACACAGTCAGGATAACCAAGGAGTGGCTCCGTAAGAAGCATATCAAGGTTCTGGAGTGGCCTAGCCAGTCTCCAGACCTAAATCCAATAGATTATCTTTGGAGGGAGCTGAAACTCCGTGTTGCTCAGCGACAGCCCCGAAACCTGACAGATCTAGAGGAGATCTGTGTGGAGGAGTGGGCCAAAATCCCTGTTGCAGTGTGTGCAAACCTGGTCAAGAACTACAGGAAACGTCTGACCTCTGTAATTGCAAACAAAGGCTTCTGTACCAAATATTAACACTGATTTTCTCAGGGGTTCAAATACTTATGTTCAGCAGTGCAAGACATATAAATTCTTTAAAAATCATACAATGTGATTTCCTGAATGTTTTTTTCAAATTCTTTCTCTCAGAGTGGGAATGCACCTACAATGTGAATTTCAGTCCCCTCCATGATTTCTAAGTGGGAGAACTTGCAAAATCGCAGGGTGTTCAAATACTTCTTTTGCTCACTGTATATGTTTTAGGCAAAAACAAAAAAAAAAGAGATTCCCTGTGCTTAGTGTACAACATGTTACAAGCATATTGGCCCCGCTCCTCCCTGCTCCCTATTGTGACAGCTAGTGGGGGATCTTCTCCTCCCTGCTTGCTGTCACAATTTTAAAAAAATGCACCCATGCGGGGGCTACGCTCACCCGGCCGCATCATTCATTGACGGTGTTCTGTAAATGAATGAACTACATGACCTGATCGCCTTTGTGGCTGCAGGCTTGTAGTTCTCAATGAACTATCATGGCTCTGTGGAGTGCCATGGTAGTTCATTGAGTCTTCCTGTCAGTATATCTGCTTGCCCATCCATCCCGTACGAGCAAGCAGATATACTGACAGGTCTGCAGGAGACCTGCATGGCACCAGCAATCTGCTGATGGTTGGTGCTATGCTATAGGCTCCATGTACATTGGGACACTTCTGAACAATGGACACTGACTGCTGGAAAACGTGTTAAAAAAGTCTGTTTAGCCGCGTTTGCATACCGCGTTTATGCGCATTTGCGTTTAGAAGCATTTTTTATAGATAACCTCAGGAGACCTTCCAAAATGCCCAGAATGCACTGAAAAACAGTAAAAAAAATACAGAGAGTAGAAGCAGAGAGAGCAGTATTTGTTGAGATTAGCTGTCTTTTTTTTTTTTTTTTTTGTGGTGTTTGGATGTGTTCCAGCTCATTTCTGTGCAGAAATTATTGCAGCAGTGTCTAACATATTTTCTTTCATGCGAAACCTCAAAGTATGGTGTACCAGGTCCATTTGAGTACCGGGAAAACGCTTTGCATGCATTTTTCATGATGAAAAAAGGCTCTGGACAGCATCTGGAAATGGAAGAGTTAAAAAATGTTCAAAAGCAAATGCTTATAAACACAGTTAGCTGCGGTTACAAGCGTTTGGCGTTTGAAACGCTGATAAAATCTACTCCTGAACGCAAGTTTTCTGCGTTCAAAAAAACAACTGTAAACTCAACTGCCTGTAAACGACTGTAAATGTCATAGTGTACATGGACACAGGGAGACAATAGGGAGAGTTCAGGGGCTGCTGAAAAAAAACGCAAAACAGCTCCTAAACGTGAGTTTATCAGCTGCAGTATACATGAACCCTTAGAGGCTCCAGAAACAAAAAATAATTTACCTGCAAAAAAAGGGCATTTATTTATTTTTTTTTTGTTAAAAGGTGAACTTATCTTTAAAGATACAGTATGTGATTACAGCAACACTGAAATATTCAAATACTAGATATCAAAAAACATACTTCTCACTAAATAGGTGTGCTGTCACTTTAATGTGCTATCCATACGAATGTTGATACAGCAATGATTAATAAAATAAAATAATAAAATTAGTGCAAAAATATGAAGATAATTAAGAATAAAAGCAATCAAAGATCAATAAAAAAAAGTCCATAAATGTGAAATAGAGTGCAAAATTCCCAAAGTTGTCAATATCGAACTGTGAATCAATCCAAATGATCAGTGCTCTTCACGTGAATGACACCAGTGCTCACACACTATTTTCCCAGTGGAGAGATCTCAGTAAACAGAGATCAACTGCACTTTGCTTTGATACAGCCACAATATCTCCAACGGCAATTCAGGTTTGATATGGCTCCAGACAGGTGGAAAGACCGCAATTTATAGAGATCAAATGTGCCTCGTGGTGACCCAGCCACCATATCTTCAACAGCTACTCAGGTCTGCTTTGTCACCATTCATATGGCATATGAGGTAAAGACAAAAAAAAAAAGAAAACTTATAGTGAAGCAAAATGTAAAATCATAAAACTTTATTGCAGTAGTCCACTCACATCAGGTAAATGGGAAAATTGCAGTATGCAGAAACCAAGTAAACCAAGATGACATCACAAACCTAGACTCAGCCCAAAGTGTTTCCACCACACAGCCATCATCAAGGAAGAAACACTAGATTTGTGCTATAATGGTCTTTTTGTAGTAATTATTGGCAAAAGAATTACTGTCAATTACTTTTTGATGCAGTTTGCGGTTTAGAGTTAGAGTTGAGGACTTGGTCAATGGTCAGGTAGGAAAAAAATAAATAGGGCCGCATGCATTAAACAGATGAGATATAGCAAAGGCAACAACAGCAGAGCCTTTTTAAAATGGAAGCTATCTACATTGCTCACAAAGGGTCTTTGCAGCTGCCCGAAGTTAGGCTTTAAAGGAAACTTTCAAATGTTTCTGATCTACATAATTGTTCTGGGTCTATGACAGATTCCCATTCAAGTATTTTCACTTAAAAGTGATTTTGTAGCTAAAAAAAAGTACTTAAGTACTGTACACTTGTGGTACCAGAAAGAGTACCTGTGTTGGGGCCTCAAATTATCTCCATGTTGACAGAAAGCCCCGCTAACCTACACTCAATTTCTTCCTTGGCTTTCAACTCTCTAATATCAGAGCTTCAGTAGGCAGAGCAGGCTTTACAGGTGAATGATATGAGGGAGTACCTTTACATTAGTAGGGGGAGGTGCTGAATCCTTACCTGGTGCGAATTTGGGGCTCTTTGTGCAACCTGGATCTAGTCTCCAAGGGGCCTTGTCAGGACACAGGGATTGGGCTGGCAACCACATGACCACATGACATGATCTACTATTTCAAATATCTTCTACAGATATCCATCTTCTCATTGGTCCAGGCTTATGGTTGAAGGAGAGGGTAGTTGGGTGTGGGTGTTTTGATGGATCCAATGGTTATCAGAGGGGAAAGTCCTTTCTGACTGACCAATTTACTCAAATGTTGTTTACAAACATGCAGAATTTCAGTAATGTCTATAAACCCTGGAAAACATTTAAGGTTTTTTTTTTTTTCAATTCAAGTTTTTCTAATGATATACAGATAGAGATTTTTCTTTGGAATCCACTGTGTGTCATGCTGGCTTTGAGTGCATTGGAGGTTAAAGATAATCCGTAGGAGTTAAAATGCTTCTGCAGTCATAACATGAGATGTGGTTTCACCACTAATGCTCAGTACAAGGCCCATGTCTCCCTATCATTATCACCACTATAGATAGTGTCATACATGGGCGCCATCACGGTGTTCATAACTGACTACTCACGATGGACTGGCTGTCTCCTGGGTGCTGCTGAGTCATCGGTTATCTCAAACTGATACTAAAGGTCAGACCTCCCAAAACTGGCATTTTAGTTGTAAATATATGTAGACAGCCATTAAGAAGAATTCTCCTTCTTTATTTAAATTATTTTACTTTTCAGAGAATTTAATGAGAGTATGACTCCTGGCAGAGGGGCCTCTTGTCATCTTCAGACTACAAAAACCAGAACCAGTATCCATCCACTACTGGGAGATCAGTATTGAATGAACTGTCCTAATCTTTGTACAAGGATAAGACCTGGTCAGGCAAATGTTATCTGCTGATGTATGAGGTACAGTGAAGGAAATAAGTATTTGATCCCCTGCTGATTTTAAATGTTTGCCCGCTCACAAAGAAATGATCAGTCTAAAAATCAAATGGTAGGTGTATTGTAAAACTGAGAGACAGAATAGCAACAAAAAATTCAAAAGAAATGCATGTCTAAAAATTAGGCACTGATTTGCATGTTCATGAGGGAAATAAGTATTTGATCCCCTATCATTCAGCAGGATTTCTGGTACCGGGTGTCTTTCATACAGGTAACAAGCTGAGATTAAAAGCAGTCTTTTAAAAGGAGTGCTGCTAATCTAATTTTGTTACCAGTATAAAAGACACCTGTCCACAGGACCAATCAAACAATCAGATTCCAAACTCTCCACCATGGCAAAGACCAAAGAGCTGTCCAAGGATGTCAGGGACAGGCAGCTTGGTGAGAAGGTGACAACAGTTGGTGCAATCATTTGCAAATGGAAGAAACACAAAACAACTGGCAGTCTCCCTAGGTCTGGTGCACCATGCAAGATCTCACCTCGTGGAGTGTCAATGATCATGAGAACAGTGAGGAATCACCCCAGAACTACACGTGAGGATCTTGCCAATGATCTCCAGGCAGCTGGGACCACAGTCAACAAGAAAACAATTGGTAATACACTACGCTGACAAGGATTGAAATCCTGCAGTGCCCGCAAGGTCCCTCTGCTCAAGAAAGCACGTGTCCATCTGAAGATTGCCACTGAACATCTGAATGATACAGAGGAGGACTGGTTGAATGTGTTGTGGTCAGATGAGACCAAAATCGAGCTCTTTGGCATCAACTCAACTCGCCATGTTTGGAGGAGGAGGAATGCTGCCTATGACCCCAAGAAACATCGTCCCAACTGTCAAACATGGTGGTGGAAACATTCTGCTTTTGGAGTGTTTTTCTGCTAAGGGGACAGGAAAACTGCACCACATCTAAGGGACGATGGACGGGGCAATGTACCATCCAATCTTGGGTGAGAACCTTCTTCCCTCAGCCAGGGCATTGAAAATGGGTAGTGGATGGGTGTTCCAGCATGACAATGACCCAAAACACACGGCCAACGCAACAAAGGCGTGGCTCAAGAAGAAGCACATTAAGGTCCTGGAGTGGCCTAGCCAATCTCTAGACCTTAATCCGATTGAAAACCAGTGGAAAGAGCTGAAAGTTCAAGTTGCCTAACGTCAGCCACCAAACCTTAATGACTTGGAGAGGATCTGCCAAGAGGAGTGGGCCAAAATCCCTCCTGAGATGTATGCAAACCTGGTGGCCAACTACTGGAAATGTCTGACCTCTGTGATTGCCAACAAGGGATTTGCCAACAAGTACTAAGTCTTGTTTTGTGAAGGGGATCAAATACTTATTTCCCTCATGAACATGCAAGTCAGTGCATACTTTGTTTGACATGCATTTCTTTTGAATGTTTTGTTGCTATTCTGTCTCTCAGTGTTTACAATACACCGACCATTCGATTTTTAGACTGATTAATTTCTTTGTGAGTGGGCAAACATTCAAAATCAGCAGGGGATCAAATACTTATTTCCTTCACTGTATAGGTGTATGTTGGCCTCTGAAAATGTATTTGCCTCCTTTCCACTTTGTAGTTTACATATGCAATTTTTTATATGAAAGTATAACTAAATTAAATTTTTTTTTGTTTTTGATAGAGTGGAGAGGGGAAATCTTCCATTGCGGACTAGTTCTGGTGACCCCCTAATTAGATTCCCCTAATTTTCAGAGATTTCCTCTCACTTCCTGTTTTGACTATGGGACAGAAATTGAAGGGAAATCTCCCCAGTGGCACATAGATGGCAAAAAAAATAACAGGGATTCTAACCCTCCCTGTCCGTATCCAAAATGGAAAAAAAAGGTTTGGTCTAGAGTTCTATTTTGAATGACATCTGATTGTTCAGTTTATTCTAGTAGTGTAGAATAGAGCTTAAGAAAAAAAGTAACAGTCATTGTTTTGTGGCATTTATTTGGTGTGAACAGTAATTATATGTCATAGTGTGAAAAAAATGTTCTGTAGCTGGTGTTACCATCTTTCTGCCATGACTAAATGCTTCCTGTAGCTCACAAGCAGTATCTCCCATAGTTACATTTAGGTCCATATATATCTGGACACAGGAAACAATTTTCATACTTTTGGCTCTGTATGCTACCAGAATAAATTAAAACGAAACAATCCAAATTAATTTGAAGTGCAGACTTTCAGCTTTAATTAAGGGGTTGAACATAAATATTCAGTACAAATTTTAGCAACCATTTTTATACTCAGTCACTCCATTTTCAGAGGCTCAAATGTAATTTGACAAATTAATATAATCATAAATAAAATGTTCATTTTTAATATTTTGTTGAGAATCCTCTAGTGGCAATGACAGCCTGAAGTCTGGAACCCATGGACCTTACCAAAGACTGGGTTTCCTTCTTTCTGATGCTTTCCCAGGCTCTAACTGCAGCTGTCTTGAGTTGTTCTTTGTTTGTGGGTCTTTCTGCCTTTAGTTTTGCCTTCAGCAAGTGACATGCATGCTCAGTTGGGTTGAGATCAGGTGATTGACTCATCCATTGCAGAATATTCCACTTCTTTTCCTTCAAAAGCTCCTGGGTTTCTTTTGCAGTGTGTTTTGGATCATTGTCCATCTGTACTGTGAAGCGCCGTCCAATCAACTTTGCTGCATTTAGCTGAATCTGGGCTGACAGTATATCTCTAAACACTGCAGAATTCATCCGGCTGCTTCTGTCATCTGTCACATCATCAATAAACACCAATGACCCAGTGCCACTG